CTCTTTTGTATGCAAGTCAAAAGTCGTTTTTTCTTTGTCGAATCAACTTCAACTACGTAACTATTAAATTTAATTAAAAAAAAATAAAATAAATAGATTGCATGAACGTTACTCTTGTAATGAATCTCTTCAAGGCTTTAAGGGCTTAAAAGCAAGAATTCAATGCCCAAATCAGTCGTGGTCTGTCTGCAGTAAAAACAGTTTCACCACATTTTTAATAAAACAGTGCATACAGGTGAAGTATCTCTGGTGAAATTAAATGAGAGATCTCAAGTCCTCCTGGTTCTTTTGATAATCTTTTATCAGCTTGGATGACACAGGATCTCTCAGAACTTTCCCTGGTTGCAAATCTGAAGATTTTCAGCCCAGAGTGAAACGTGTGCTCGTGCTTTGAGGTCCCCCATGCAGACAAAACAGTGACCTTCTGAGGGGCTCCAGGAATTTATTTTCTTACCCAGACCTTTGAAATCAGAGCTGTCGAGAGAAATAATTCTCCTCTCATTCCTCCAGCTTTAAGAAGCTCCTGCTCCCACTTTTGCTCAGGGAAAATGATTTCAGTGGCAGACGTGGTGAAAACACTTTTACCCGTGGCCAGATCTCATTTTTCCCTGCCTGACTCATGGCATTATTGATATTTTCTGTGGCTCTGTGTATGTATCAGGGCAAATTGGTTGGATTTAGAATTAAAATTGAAGTTCTCTTTAACTTCTCGTTCAGCCTCTGTTTCAGTTCACATTGAGGATGGCTCTGGAAAAGGCACCACTTGTCACTCAATTTTATTGCAATATCTTCATTATATTTGGGCCAAAACCTCTGGATTTGGGTTTGAAGGAGACTTTAAACTCATCCAGTGTCACCCCTGCCATGGCAGGGACACCTCCCACTATCCCAGGCTGCTCCAAGCCCTGTCCAGCCTGGCCTTGGACACTTGCAGGGATGAGGATAATAAATGTCTGCCTTTATCTGGAGATGAGGAAATGATGTTACAGCACCATTTTTAATCTGTGTTTAGGGAAATGACCACTGCACTTTTATCTGGAGGATTAGGGAGGACTTAGAAAACACAACTTCATCTCTGGGTTACAGAGAGTTTATCTCTAAGAGAATCTGAGTGGATTTCAATAGTAGACCTGAGCCAACAAACAGCACACTTCATCTAAGATAACAAATGATTTCTTGATAGCTTGTAGGATTAAAACTTCTGGGCATACAGAGCAGCTCAGTTGATCACTTGAGCTGCAATTAAAAAGCAGAACAAGTACACCCTGAATATTGTTTTTATGTCAGAAATGCTCCTTCATGCTTGAAAATGAGAAAAAATTGCAATCGATCCTTACAACTGTTCTGTTCATCTTTATTGACCAGGCCAAAGAAAGATAAATGGCAGCCTAAATAAAATTCTAGTCCATGTTGGCCTGGGAGGGGACAGGGGGTGATGGAGAACCATTCATCATCTGAGCCCTGCCT